TATAGCAGTAAGGCTATGAATGTCAAACGTATATGTATAGAACATGTCTATGAAGTTGCAGAACACCTTTCACTGAATTTCACTGATTTTTTAGAGTTGGAAGGGACCATAGAGATTATCTAGTCCAACTCCCCTGCTGAAGCAGGATTGCCTAGAGCTTGTCAGAGGATGTTACTCAGGAGCATCCAGGTGGGTCTTGAAAATCTACAAAGAAGGGGACTCCACGACCTCCCTGGGCAGCCTCTTCCAGGGCTCTGCCACCCTCACTGTGAAGAAGTTTCTCCTCATATTTGAGTGGAACCTCTTATGTTCCAGCTTGTGCCCGTTACCCCTCGTCCTGTCACTGGGAACCACTGAAAAGAGTCTGGCTCCCTCCTCCTTCAGCCCGCCCTTGAGATCCTTGTCAGCATTAATAAGGTCTCCCCTCAGCCTTCTCTTCTCCAGGCTAAAGAGTCCCAGCTCTCTCAGTCTTTCTTCATAAGGGAGATGCTCCAATCCTTGAATCATCTTTGATGTATACTCAGCACCCACTCCTTGTCTTTGCTGCTAGTCTGATCTCTCTTTGCATCCATTCGGTAGGTTAAAGCAGCTACCATTCAGCGCATCCCGTTTTTTGGATACCATTATAAACCTTTTCTGAAACATGCTACATGAGCAGCCATTTCTGTGGAGGAATTTCCTTGACTTTTGCATGGATCCATGTGAGAGTTAGGAAGCTTGTTTGCAGGTCTGGCCTGGTATTCAGGCTACAGTATGTGAGATGGAATTATTTAAGCTAATATATTTGTATGTTTTTACATTCTGTTGCCTTTTTTTTCCCTCATACATAAAATGTTCAAGATCTTAGGAACATGCATAAGCTATTGCAGATCTCAGAGACATTTAGCCACAGACTTCTGACTCATTTCACAGCTGCTCCTTTTTCTCAAATATTTGTAAACAGTTAGATAAAGGCAATTATTTCAGTGAATATTTAAAATTATTTATTGAATAAAACCGTGTTACAGTACCTATGATGTAATAAAAAAGTAGACAAAGGTGAACAAAAATTATATAACTGATTTAGTAGAATTACTGCTTAATGCAAGTAGTCATTGGCTCCTAAATTCTTTTCTGATTTATAAGATGTCTAAGGATCCAGAAGTGTTGACTTTAACTTTTGCGCTTCACAATTTGTGCTGTATTGGACTTTCTTCGAAGCCATTAAGGCCAAGTGAAGGTGTATGAATTGTTCCCCTTCTTAAAAGAAGTCTCCTAATGAGTTTGAGGAAAATGTTTCCAGGCAAAACTGTGAACAGGGTTTGTAGAAACCAGAACAGCACAGCTGAGTGTTACAGCACCAAGTAACTTCATCGATGAACAAACATCACAGCCAAAGTTGATCACCCATTTTAAGACTATCACAAAGGTAGAGGATGATAAATTTGATTTCTTAGTTACATTCTGGCTATAGGAATGCCTGGTTAAAGGTATTACAAAGCTTGTGTATGCAGGCTAATGTTCTTCTCTAGCCAGCTGAGAAAGACACACACTTGTACGTGGAACTGTCTAGAGCAGGAGCCTAACTGAATAAAATTTTAGAAAAACCTGTGCCTGCCCACTGAATGTAGGATAAGGCTGTAGAGGCCTGGTCCTGTGGGTATTTCCCATTGTGCCTGCCTGAAGTTCTGGCAGAATCTGTCCTCTATTATTAAGTTACAGTGAAGTTTCACAACTGGGGAAAGAGCTGTCAATTGCCATTTCGGAAGCAGCTGTATTTCAGTAATGGGTAAGATCACAGTATACGTCTTACTTGACAGGAGTCACAGAATCTGTTTGTAGAATACTTTTTACTTCTTGAAGGATGCAAGTATATGAAGGCATTTTTGTTATATTTATTTAAAAATAGACTTTAAAGTATTATGTGTCCAGTTTGTTGTATGTAGGTCACAGGAAATTGAATCCTTCCCTCCACCAAATAATTTCTGTCTGAAATCTCCAGAAAAGTTACCTGCCATAGCACTGCTCTGTCACAGCCCTGTCCTGGAAGGGTGATGTAGCAGCTCAAATTCCTGCCCAAGGCCTGGTCCAGGGACTGTTGAATTCAGTCAAAAATCTTCCCTTGGCCTCAGCATCCGGGGTAGCAGAACCTCAGCCATTTCCCGCACAAGTGCTCTTGCCAGAAAATGTTTGTGACCTTTTTCATAGTTAATAAATAGTCTGTCGGAGCGGAGCAGTGACTGTACACCATTTTGGAAGTGAGAAGGTAATCATTATATGGAGACATGTTGGAAAGCACTGATCCAGAGCCTCAGCCTTACCTTGTCGCTACCCTTGGAGCCATCTCTTTGCCCCAGAGTAGCCACCGTGCGCCACCTCAAGCCTGTACCCAGGGCATTTACCTTCCTCCTGGGACCCCAGTCAGGTTTTGCATTTGTAAGTCATTCTGAGTTTTTTGGGTGGAAGGTGCTTTGAAATCACAAAGTGCTGGGTCTATTTTGTGCAGGCATCTGTTAATTAATAAGGCTTTTAATTATATAGCAACACAACTTTAAAACCGTCCTCTTTCCTACTACATCATAGAAGCAGCGGGCTTGGCCCCGTGCCTTTTTAAAAGTGACTGCTGATGTATGTATTAACATCAGTTCCAAGACAGTTTTCAGTGAGCAGTGAGAGTTGGAATATGGAAATGTCATATTTTTCCTAGTATTAAACAGTTGTTAAACTAGAAACATAACTCTTGCCAGATAGTTATTTTGTATGCATGTCGTCTTCATAAGAAGAAAATGAACATGCCTTTTCCTTTCATTAAGTATTTTAAAGTTCATCTTTATTTGGTGATCTAGTCAATTAAAATAAGTTCATGAGCAGCTTGTGAGAGCAGACGACTAATTAATTTTAGGTGTTGCATAAAGCATATTCTTTCCCATTTTTGTCTGGTAATGGGTACTACTAATACCCATAATAATAGATCTTATAGAAAATAGTATTACACAAAGTTTATGATACTTCAAAATAATTACCTTAATATCTTTGTGAATTAAAAATCTGTTTTTGTGGGAACATAAACATTAAGGCAACATTATGTAAGAACTGCACATAGAGAAAACAATCTTAAATATCATTGTCATAATGGAAAATAAGAGAATCCTTTTGAATTGGTTAATAAAAACTCACTATTTTTTCTACATGGGTGATCATATTCCAAACTCCCACCTAGCATTGCACGTAAAAGTGAAAGCGAAATCAAGATATGTTAAAGGTAGGCAGGCAATGTAAATCCCTAGAACATACTCCAACATACTTTGGTTTTCCAAAATGTTGCCATTGTTTGGATCTATATTTTCATTTCTGTCTCCTAGAGGCACTGGAATCAGCCATAAGAGTAGGATCTTCAGGCAGAATTTCCAGGGGGTAGAGGTGTTTAGGTCTGTGGGGTATTTATTTGGGGCTTTTCATTACTGTGAACACATCCTTTTAATGTCAGATTGGTCCTTTGGACTGTTTTCACTGGACCATCCAGCATAAAGAGCTGCCACACTGAAAGCTTAAGTTGTTTTTATTCTTCCACTATAAAGCAAATACATATACAAAAGTCTCGCTTTGAAGTAAATCACACAATGCACAGCTTTCCTCCAATTCTGTTATATTTATATAAGGAAAGGATATTTTACACTGAAAGCACTTTTCTGTGAGGTGACTGCACAATACACAGGTACCCACCCAGAACTGCTAAAATTCACTGACTTCTGCTCAGAATTTTAGCCAATGCTTCAATACAAATTCTAGGCTTTTGGGAAAAATACTGAGATCTCTGACTGCATGCACAAAGACTTTTCTTTTTTTAAAAAAATATTTTATCTAAAAAACAGAGGTACAGGGAAGGGTTTTTTTCCCAGAGGATTATTCAGAAAGTAATTGACCCTGCCAAAAAGCTGGCACTCAGAAAATGCAGACATTTAAAACACTTAAGTACATAGAGAAAACTATCATGCTTTCTACTGCAGAGCTTTCCAAATGGGTTTCTTTGATAGTGGTTAGAGAGCAGCTTCTGCTACCAATTTTTACCATTTACATTAATGAGATGTTGAAATCTCTCATGCTACTCTTTATGTATATTACACAGAGAACATTTTAATGTATATCCTCTTTGGCCTACAAGGGCGTTAATGTTACAAGATGTGAAATCTGGAGCTGTACAGTATTTCTTCCAATAAAGTGGTCTCAGCACTGACGAATTACAGCATTCCTATTTTGTGCAACAAATATGCACCATGTACAGCTCACAGTAACCACTAACCTCTTTCTACATGTGGTCTCAGTCCACTACAGTGAAATGATCTTTTAAGTTAACAGTGTAACATTGCCTTTTATAGTTTAACACATTAATACCGAATTTGATCAGACATCTCTATTCTCCTTCCTTCTCTGCTTCCTTTGAAAGTGTGTTTTTTACTTAAAGGTGAAGTAGCTGATACCTCCCTCTGCCTGTCTCTGCAGTGCTCTTAAGTCAATCTCAGAAAAAAAACTTTTCTTTTTTCAGTATACTTTGTCTCTTGCTGCTCTCTTTGAAACTGGGGATTGCTGTGGGCCATGGAATACTCGTGGTAGTAACAACCGAGTGAAAAAGCTGGTGCTGTGCATGGTTCTCCTTGAGAACATCTACAGAGATGCTGTCCTCTGCTTTTGCACGTGCTCTCTTTCACTTTGTAATTGATTCAGTATGCAGTGAAATGAAATTGATGTGTATGTGTTTTCCTTGCTTCTCTCTTTTGAGGTCCCTGTATCGATTATAAAGCAGTGGAAGATGAACCGAGTGAAAAAGCTGGTGCTGTGCATGGTTCTCCTTGAGAACATCTACAGAGATGCTGTCCTCTGCTTTTGCACGTGCTCTCTTTCACTTTGTAATTGATTCAGTATGCAGTGAAATGAAATTGATGTGTATGTGTTTTCTCTTGCTCCTCTCTTTTGAGGTCCCTGCATCGATTATAAAGCAGTGGAAGATCCCCCTGAAACGGGAACCACCACCTTTGGGGTGAGATCTCCTGAATAGTGAAACATCGCTTTAGTTTCTCTGGGTATGGATGATGCATGTGTCATTTATTGGTTTTAGTTTAATGTTAATAGAAGGTAAGTTAACTGATTAATTTAGGGCATTTGCTTTGAATGTTTCCTTAGTTATTAAAGCATTATTTATATTATAATATAGACTGGTATTGCAGTTACTTCCACTTCTTTAGATCTGCCCTAAATGAGAAGTGTTGCTGTCCCCAACAAGGCGGTGGGGAATAACAACCCCCTTGAACTCTAGCATAAGTGTGAGGTTAGAGTAGATAATACTATAGTGGCATTTTTGCTATTAAACCAAATAATAATTATATATATATAATATATATATTTTATATATATATATATAAAATCACATTAAACCAAAGTCTGTGTAGTAGAGTAGGGTATGTTTAGGTTGGCCTTTGATTCAGAGCTGGGTTGTGTCCATTGAGGAGTAGCATATTGTTTAAGTAGGCCGTAAAATTTCCTCGTAGTCTTGACAAATTCTTGATTCAGACATAGATTTACCCATGTGGAATTTGGGGAAGTTAGAGACACTCAGCTCTTCCTCATTAGGATAACAGAGGAATATCTAGAAGCGTGTTAAACAATCCCTCTAAATCAGCATCCACTGTCTAAGTCACAGCAATGCTTTGCTTGAAGTGACAAAACTGGTTTGATAAGATGCAGTCATGTCAGAGCTGGAAGTACAAAAGTGCATTTATTAAAAATGAATGCTGTATCCTCTTTCCCCTCGTGTATCTTGTCACTGACATGACTTCACAAGTTGCAAATCTATTAAACATTTCAAACATGAAACGAGCTCATTAAGCAAAATGTTGACTGGAATATAGCAAACTGTTTCAGACTCAAGACAGTTAATATTTGTCTCCAGAGTTTTTTGTCTTCTAGGTTGTCACCAAGCAATCCAGCTGTCTGGGAATACAGTTTATGTTTCATCTGATCAGAGTCTGACTGTCCTTTGGGGTGAGGTAGTAGGTTGTATAGTTTTAGGGTTATGCCCTGCCTGTCAGATAACTATACAATCTACTGTCTTTCCTGAAGTGGCTGTGATATCATCGTGGGATATGTCTTCAAAGACAAAGCAAGTATATTTCAACCATAACAGTCTCTGACTCTGTCTACATGTTGGATTTGGTTCTTGTAGCAGGATTATGAAAGAACACAGATGTCCTTACAGTGTTTAGATTCCTTTATTTCTCATTCAGATTCAGAAGAAATTTCCTCAGAGAAGGAGGGGTGTAAGTGACAGGGCACAGAGGTATGACCCAATCTGCAATAGGCTTGTTCATGCTCAGCTTTCTCAGACTGCCATGAGAGTGGCCATTTGGAAACAGCTGACCCATTTCTCCATGACTTTGTGGCATTTGTGTTTATATTCAGTGGAAAATGCCACTTTTGATTCAGCAGCTATTTAAATGTACTTTACATAGGCTGTTTGAGAAATTATGAAGTGAATACTTGGACAAAAACCAAAGAGGATGTCTTCCAGTTGTTCATATTTTGCCCTGGAAGTGGTAAATGCTTGATCCCTAAGTAAAGAGGTTTCTTTAATCAGTTTTTATATGCTGATTTAACTTGCTTTTTTATTACATAATGCTAATTTGGGAGGGACAGTGCATGCCACTGTGGTTCTTACGTCTCTGGAGTCAGCCCACCAATTTCTGACTGACTTCCAGGTAGAATTGTGAGGAAGGGCCGAGAGGAGGTAATTGTGGTCTTTTGAAGGCTAGAAATAGGTGAGCTAGAGGGTCCTTGGGGAATCTTAATTGCAAAAGGTGAAATGTTAGTTTCCTTCAGAAGATGTGCTTGATGCTCTAACAGGATGAGGTAGTAGGTTGTGTGGTTTCAGGGTAGTGATTTTGCCCCAATCAGGAGATAACTATACAACCTACTGCCTTCCCTGATAAGCAGCATAACAACATCAGTGTCTTAATTCACAGAAAAACAAGAGCTAAAATACACTTCTGAGACCAGCAAAGTAAGTCCAGATACAGTTGTTGTTATCCTGTCCGTAATAGCTCTAAATTTAGTGTCTTGCATTGTTTTTTAATAACTGCTTGCAAAATAATTATCTACTTAAAAGTCTTTATCATGAGAAATTGAATTAAAGAACTTTTGCTTATTTCAAAGTTTGTCTGCTCTTGATTTGTTTCATTTCTGATTCATTTGAGTGGAATGAAGTTACTGTGGGAAATTATTCAAAAAATGCTGTGAACTTTCCTTCAAGGTGTTCGTATTTCCTTGACTTCTTAGTTTGTGTGCAACAAATTTTACTTGTTTTGTTCAACCTTACCTCCCCTTCAGGAACCTTCCAGTGTTCTACAAATAATACCAGATTAAGTCACACAACATTCTCCAGCAGGTCAGCTTTATATTACAAATAAAAAGCTCTAACAGTGAAAGTCAACAGATTTTTAGGTCAGCTTTATATTACAAATAAAAAGCTCTTACAGTGAAAGTCAACAGATTTAAAAAAAAAAAAAAAGCCAGACATTGATTTGTACCTCAGTTTCCCCTAAGCAAACTCAAATTGCACCTGGAAAACCATGGACAGAAAATGTTAGGTCTGTTAGACATTTTGAGGATACGGAGTCTTACACCAAAAAAAACCTGTGGAAAAAGGGAATATAACAGCAAGGTGCTGGTTTTGCTTGTGTACACAGAAATTATTCTCCCACATGCGAAATATACCAGGAAATAGGAATCATGTAAAACTTAAGGTTACCTTAAGAGCAGAGGTATCAAACTATTTGTATGTATTTTGATTTTACATCATCTCATTACTGTGGATTGCAGTGAAAAGTTAGTCATAATCCTCTGTTCCTATCTCACGTGCTACACAAAAGAAAGCCTTGCTCACATAAAAAGCATTACCCTCATATCTGTAGCTCGGCAAGCTGAGATGTCCAGGGTGAAAGCAAGTGAGAAAACTGATGTTACCTTTGACAGCAGAACTGGGTATTTTACTGCTGCTCTGGTCCAAAAATATCACACGTATCTGTACTCTGGTGGCATTTGAGGTCATTCAACACCTCAAAACAGGACCTTTTGTTAACACCTTTAATGAAAAGTTAGGAATGTTCCTCCACTCGTGTTCGTAGAGAGGGATAAAGGCAGTTGGTAGAAGAGGAAAAATTGCTGGGTGTCTGAAAAGCATAGGAGAATAGGCAATACTGTGGCTGGTTTTAATCTTCTCTTTTCTTCTTGCTGTTTAAAGAGGATCCCTTAATTTGAAACTGCTGTAAGGATACTTACCATGCTGGCCATGTTCAAGGGCTGCGGGACATGCATTGCAGATTCTGAACTCTCTTTCTTCTGCTGAAAATGCAGACTCACAGCTGCAGTGTAAACATCTTCGATGAGCGTGAGTAGCAATTGCACTGTGTGTAGCTTAAAACATCCTGCTTCTCTCCAGGATACAAATTTGGCTGGAGATTTCTGGTTTAATCTTGCATTCAGTAACTACACAGCAAATGTTGTGCATGGGAGAAAGAGGTGAAAAGAGGGAAAATGTGTTCTACAATGGGCTGTCTCTGAAGTTGTTTTAAATCTTTTGGCTCTGCTTGGGTCAGCATTTTCTTCTTGGTAACGAGCTGTGAGTTTTCAGATTCTAGTCATTCTGGCAATCCCATTTAAACAAAGGGTAAAAAAATTCCATAGTGTTCTCTTTGCTAGGATCTACAGTAAATGCAAAAACATGTGCCTATATTTAGCAGTGTGCAAGCCTGCAGTTAATCAGGTCTGTCCTTAGCAGTAGGTGTCATTACAGCTGATGGGACCTCCAGTAGAAACTTTAAAGCAAAACTCTGTGATACCAAATATTTTCCAGAACTCTATACTGAAAATGTTTGTATCAAAATGTAAGTAGTAGCCTGGGCTGCTGGAATCATGATGAAAAACAAGCTGTTTTTTTTAAATGACTCAAGTCAGCATGACTTGTTCTTGAGGCCATGTGGTGGTGTGTTGCCCATGTTAGGTGTGAGGAAAAAGCATAATCATGAGTGCACAGAACATGATAAGTGCGTATCATAACATACACTTTTATAAGCTGTGTCTGCTTCAACGTGTTGTGGGGTGTTTTTTAGTGTAACAGCAGTATTAGTCGATGAGCAGAAGCTTAGTATGTCTGGCTGGAACAAAGCCTGGACATTTGCTTATAACAGACCAGGTGCAAATCGGTGGGTACGGGGTTTTTTGTGAGGTCAGGATTTCAGTCATTAGTTCCCCTCCTGTGCCCTGAAGAAAGTACATGGAATTTTGACTCAAGCATGATCATAGGTACAACAAAGACATCAAGCAGATCCCTGACATTAAAGCTGCCTTTTCTGAATTTTAGATCTCTGCTGCACGAATGTGTGGAGCATTATACCTCTTCTTCCATGATCCCATTCAAGGCTGTTACATTTTTAGTTTAGTTTTGGGTTTTTTTTAAAATGTGAGCAAACCTCCATATTCTCCAAAACCAGATGGCCAATCTTCACTCCATTTGGCCACAGTACTAAAGCAAAGGTATATGGTTTTAGATAATCTGGATAACCCTAATAACAGGCTGTGCTACCAGCCCCACGAGGGAAAACCCAGCGTTGTGGCTGCGTAGGTACCACCAAGTGCCAGCTGCTGGGGCTGTTCCTCCATGGCTGCTCCTGAGAGGGCAAGGACCTTGACCACAGAAGTAGTTCCTAGGCACTCTGCTGAACGGGCAGATAACAAAGGGGATTTATACTTGGAGAGAATCCAAAAAATGCAGTAAGAGCGTAGCTGGCACACCGGGCCGGCCTGGTACAAATTCAACGTGAGACAGGAGCGGCGCTTGTGGTTGCACAGGGACCTTGAACACAGAAGTAGTTCCTAGGCACTCTGCTGAACGGGCAGATAACAAAGGGGATTTATACTTGGAGAGAATCCAAAAAATGCAGTAAGAGCGTAGCTGGCACACCGGGCCGGCCTGGTACAAATTCAACGTGAGACAGGAGCGGCGCTTGTGGTTGCACAGAGGGAGCTGGTGCTCAACAGGAAAGAAAAAATGCCTGCCTTCCCTTGTGCTCGGAGAGGTTCTCCAAAGGGGGGCCTGGGCCCAGAATTGTGCTCACACACTGGGAGACAAATAATTAAATGAGAAGAAAACAAAATGTTAGCTTAAGTCATCTGTGGTAAAAAAAACATGCACCATTCAGAGAATGGAAGGTCTGAGCATATTGCTAATTACCATGAATGTGATTGTGCACAGCAGTTACCTAGAGGTGGTCTAGCTAAAATCTGTTTAAGTCCAAAGGAGGGGTTTTCTTAACTAATGCTGTGCAGTTCTCACAGTATGAGTGCGTACCAGCAATGGGAATAATGGTTATTGGGATTACGGATGAAATAAAGTCATTTTTGTCATGAAACAGAACATCAACTTGAAGCTTGGAAGAGAGGGAGGGTACAGAATTGAATCAAAACTGCAGAAGGGACTGGTAAAAGCGTGGTGATGGTTATATATACTGGAATGTGACCAGAACTCCATGGTTGAACGACATATGTTTAAGGAAAAAAAAAAAACCAACAACCGGGAATACCAACAAATGATTATCCAAGCAGGATAATTGCACTGAATGGACTTTCCCACCAGGCAGGATGCAGCAGTCCAGCTGTGAGTCCCCTCGGAGCAGAGCAACGTCAAAGTGCTGCACCAGTTACAGACCCCAAGAAGTGTTTGTATCTTCAAGTCTCTCTCTCTGCGTGAGAGGTGTTTGCTCTGCTGGGTTTTGCCCCTGTAGCTCTCTGCCTCCGTCTGAATTACGAGGTGAATTAATGCACTTAATGGAAGTGCAAGAGCTGAAGCCCATCTAGGCCAGGCAATGACAGGCCAAATGGTGCCTCACCTGCTGATAATGTTTGGAAGGCTTCCAAGCAAAAAGAATGGCACCGACTTTAAAAAATGTTTGCCTGGAAAAAAATCCAACAACGTGCTCTTGGGATTCAGAGACTTCAAAAGGGTGTTAGCTCTAAGAAGGCAACACACATTTCCTGGTTGCACCCAGGAAATCGTGCTAATGGTGTTGATTTTACCCAAATCAAACCGAGGGGGGAGATGTAGCCCACACTGGAAAAGGCTGTTTAACTGTGTGTAAATCAGCTCAAGGAGCGTGTCTGCTCATAACCCCTCTTTTAGACCCCCCCCAGCCCAGCCAGGCCTTTGCTACGATGGCACTGCTGTCAAGGTGGACATGCATCTTCTTGGCAGAGAGGAGTTTCCCCTAGGACCACCCAGGATGTGCCGCAGGGCCTTCAAGCACAGTCTCCAGCCGCAATTTAATACAACTTCAACTGTCTTCTGTAGTTCTTGAACCCAAAGTTGTGCTCAGGTTGGGCTGTAGCACACACAGCCCCCGCTCCTGCTGAAGGACAGTCATGTCTGCCTGGCTCACTCTCCGTGTGCCTGGCTGGAGTTTCACTGAGGGAGGACCCATCAAGGAAGCAAATCTGGGCTCCTGGTAAAAAACATCCATCCTGTGGGCTTTGCAGAATGAGGGGAGCCGTGGGCAGCTGAGCTACAGACATCTCTGCTGCTGCAATGCAGATGCAAGAAGTGGAATCAGTAGGAAAAAGTAAAACCTGGGCCAGTCCTAAGAGCAGCACACAATACTTGAACGACAGGAGCATCAGCAAAGCCTCTGAAAGCTATATTGGCATGGCTTCAGCCTGGGTGGCTCAAAACCATCCATGAAGGTATCCAGGTGTTAACTTCTATTATAAAAATTATGGGAGATGGGAGGCTTTGAAAATGTCTATGAGGATCTGGGGTTCAGTGACTTGGATGCCCAGATCTCGCCAACAAAAAATCAATGCCAGCACTGCTTAACAGAGCAAGACAAAGACATCAAAAAACCTAGGCCAAAATACCCACAGATTTTCAAATAGATCTGTGTTCCTAAGTCACTTTGGCACTTCTAATTGTTTTACAATTAACAGTAATGATTCCCAGTCATGCTAAGCATTTGATGCTATAAAGGCTTTTGTCTGGTTGTGGCATACAGTTCATGCCTAGTCTCCAACACAAATCAAAACCATATGAGTAACCAGGTTAAGAGACAACCAAGTTGTAACCAAGTTCCCTGATGTGGCTTATGTTTGTATTCCTGCCAGGGCCTGAGGCTCTTACTCGAGATTTTCCCTGTCCAGCTTGCATATTCAAATGTAAACAATAATATTTCCATCTTCAAGAAGCCCAAATGAGATTTTTATAATGCAAACAAAGGCATTAGTGTATTAAAAACTTTCAATCAGCTGAAAATGTGCAGCAGTTTACATATTAGTATATGTTTTTAATTAACACTTGGAAGAGAGTGAGAAACACTTGATGCACTTAGAACTAACACAAATAAAAGTACCTTTCTTACGTGTTTCTCTGTGTAAACATATAAACTGAAAATCTAATCATTCCTGATAAGGTAAATTGACATATACCTTTTGTGAAAATGGCAGCTTAATCCATCTTCCTTTAGACAGCAAGGCAGGTCTTTCAAACATCTCAATTTTGGTGGTGGAAACATCTCAGATTTTCTGGAACTGTTTAGAGTAAAACACAGTGTGTAGCCCTGGAGGGTCTGGGAGGTTTCAACCTGATCTCAGTCTTTACAGCCCTTCCTGAGCAGATGATTCCCGTGTGGATGGTTACACGCTCTTCTCTCTGGGTTTAACCTGATTTGGTACTGTCTCTCTTATATCTGTTAAAAAGCTACCCTGCGAGCTTGACAAATAGTGTTGCAGCAGTGACTATTTGAAAATCAGATGGGGAATCCCATAGGTCCTATGTTTATTTAGGTTTGGCTTGCTGGCTCATCCCAGTGACCTCCGCTGAGGTTAGGCATATGATACTCATGGTTAGAATATTAAAACACGGCCAAAAGTTTGGTTATATTTTCTTTTTCTCTCCCTTTTTTGCTATTTTTGCTATTTATCATGGCTAAGTGAATGATTGATGGACCAGGATTTAATGATTTACCATTTATTTTCCCATTGTATCAAAACTCAGAGTCGCTTTGGAAGTTCAATTGGAGAAATTAGTTTCCATTTCATTCCCTTTTGCAATTCAGCAGCTTTTGCACAGCTTAAGAAGTTTTAACAGTAGCAAAAAGAACCCTTATAAATACATTACATTTCAGACATTCATCATATTGTACTAGCTGACAGAAAAAAGAAAAAGTGATCATCACCCAGTTTTATTAAAATTTGAGCACAATGCGAATTAGGAAAATCTCCCTCAGAAAGTTTCCACGCTTGAAAAAAAGATTTTTCACACTGGAGTAAAGAAAATGAGATTGTAATATCTGGCACGTGGTGGTATATCCATAGCTCAAGCTATTCCCAGATTTTCTAATGGAGGGGCTACATCTACATCGGTGCTGTTACGTCCGTGAGCACACAAAAAGAAAAGGTCATGGCTCACGTGAAGCTAAAACAGCTACAGAGGGAAAGTACAGTATTTTCGTACAGTACAGGTTAGGGGTGGACCTGCTGGAGGCAATTTCTGAAGAGAAAGATCTAGGGGTCCTGGTGGACAGTAAAATGACAATGAGTAAACAGTGTGCTCTTGTGGCCAGGAAGGCCAATGGGATCCTGGGCTGCGTAGGGAAGAGTGTGGCCAGGAGGTGGAGGGAGGTCATTCTCCCCCTCTGCTCTGCACTGGGGAGGCCACAACTGGAATCCTGTGTCCAGTGCTGGGCTCCCCAGTTCAAGAGGGACAGGGAACTGCTGGAGAGAGTCCAGCGTAGGGCAACAAAGATGATTCAAGGATTGGAGCATCTCCCTTATGAGGAGAGACTGAGAGAGCTGGGACTCTTTAGTCTGGAGAAGAGAAGGCTGAGGGGAGACCTTATCAATGCTGACAAGGATCTCAAGGGAGGGTTGAAGGAGGAGGGAGCCAGACTCTTTTCAGTGGTTCCCAGTGACAGGACGAGGGGCAATGGGCACAAGTTGGAACATAAGAGGTTCCACTCAAATATGAGGAAAAACTTCTTCACGGTGAGGGTGGCAGAGCCCTGGAAGAGGCTGCCCAGGGAGGGTGTGGAGTCCCCTTCGGTGGAGATTTTCAAGCCCCACCTGGATGCTCCTGAGTGACATGCTCTGACAAGCTCTAGGCAATCCTGCTTCAGCAGGGGAGTTGGACTAGATGATCTCTGTGGTCCCTTCCAACTCTAAAAATTCAGTGAAATTCAGTGCAACTGCCCTCAGCTGATGGCGTGTTCCTGCCTACAGCTACGTGAACCACGCTGGGTGTGGGCAGCTGGGACCCGAGGTGTGCTTTGGCCATCCATGAGCCCAAACACGTGGTGATTTCCTTTTCATGGATAATGCCACGCGGAGGGAAGCGCCTCAGGGCACACGATGTGGCTGGTGTCGCCGGGCTCTGCCCCAACCTCCCGACACACAAACCTTCGGTGGCATGTCGCCTTCAGCGGGTTATTTCCCCCAAAGGTAGTAAGCTGCACTTTTTTCCCCAAAAAGACTTGTGTTTGTATCATTCTCCAAACCTGGAGAAGCCTAGGAACTCTTTTTTTTTTTTGGTGGTCGGTGTTAACTGGAGATGATGCCTTTAATCATCAGAAACGCAGAGGATGTGTTACTCATTAGATGCTTACAGTTGGTACCCTAATTTGGATAGCGTGATGGCTGAGGGAGGGAGAGGAGAGGGAGCCCCTGAGGGGCTCTGCGGTGATACCTGCGGGCAGAGGGCAAGGGGGTTTGGGCACAGCTCTCCATTAACAGAGAAGGAGGAGGAACGAGCCCCTCGCCTGCAGCAGGGAAGGGAAAGGCTGTTCCCCCCCATCCCGGTAAGGAAGCACCGAGGTCTGTGGGCTTCTCACCTCAGCCTGAGGGAAGCCAGGGTCCAATGGCCACCGTGAGATGGGCAGGGGCCAGTCTGCTGCCTCCTTCCCAGCCTCGGCCTCCACTTCTCCCGGGTGAAGCTTTGCCAGGCTGATTTACGACTCCCTCCGAGTGCCTGGGATGGAGTTATAGCCCCTTGTATTACACGGTGCCTTCTCTGTTATTCTTACTGCACGCCACAGATTTATGATGGCTTTTAAGCCAGGCAGCACATAAAGAAATATGATCTTAACAAAATATGGAAGGGACCAAAGGAGGTCAAAGTGTGGGAGCTGAACACTATTCGGTGATCCAGGATTTCCTTTTATTTACTGCTCACACCTTTTCAATCTCAAGTGGATTTCGGCTGTCTCGGGCGGCCCTACCCACCGGCTGGGGAGGAGTCTGGAATCCACTGAGCTGGGATGCTTTCCCATCAGCGGATGTCTTTTATTATGATTTAGCACACGTAGGAAATCCCAAAATACCAGTGGTGAATTAAATGAATTTTAGACACAGAGTGCCAGAAAGACACATAACATCGGGGTAGGCAGGAGTCCCACGTTGACCTGAACAGGCTTTCTGTCTCCTGCCGTCTCTTTCTGTGGCACCAACCCCTGCTTTTCTGGGTTCCTGGTGTCCTGCAGAGATACCTCTGCTTTTGGTGCTGAAGGAGAACAATTTGTGATAGTCTTTCACAGAGAAGCGGAGCAAAAGCTATGCCGGATTGAACAACGTGATGGTGTGATGATGAAAGTAACGTTGTGAGTAACTCTATAGCATTATTTACATGCATTCATCAATTATTCCCAAACCGTAGCGCACAGGAAAAATACAAGCACTGCTTTTACTCTGCAGATGGATAATGTGAGACCTCGCAGCAAACGCAGGGTGACATGAGCACAGGGCAGAGCTGCACAGAGCCACCTGCATTAAACACTCTCCATCAAGATGCAAAGCAAAACAGCTGGCAAGAGGGAGGAAAGCTGTAATTACAGCCAATAAATGACTCCTGAGCCAACACCTGCTGCTGAGCCCCTGGTTTTGAAACAGAAACAGGAGCTTTTTCCCTTCCTAGGTGAGTGCCATAAACCCCTCCGTTGTTCCTTTCATTAATGAGACGAGCTCTGATGTGCTCCCTTTCACTTAGATTTGTTATTATTATTTCTCTATCTGAGGAAAGAGATTTGTCTCCCTTCTGGTTGCAGCCTAGGGCTGTGGCCAACACAAAACTGCCTCCTTGGGGTTTTCTGGAAATAAATTTATCTGAGTCCAGAGGTGACTCAAGTTTATACAGTTAGTTTTCAACACAGAATATCTTTAAAGATAAGACAGTTACTGAAAATAATTTGCATGAGGTTTGTTACACTGCTCAGTTACCCACCACCACTGCCGTTTCTTCCCTGGGTGTAGTCCCTCAATTCCTGGGGCTTTTCACTAGAAGGTCACAGCTGTGGATTTCCTCCTGAGATACATGATCCCCTCCAAAATGAAATGCAAAGAAGGGTGAGTGATGTAACTTTGCTGGAAGGGCTATGGATGCCCCCCCCACTAATCTTGGCATCCTCGTGTTCCCTAGCTATTTTCCTACTGATTATTGAATTTCTCATGCATATTTCCTCACGGTATGTGCTGTTTATGATGACATCAATCAGCAATCTCTTTTAGAAACATTAACACTACAGTACGTGTTTAAGTGTAATATCCTAATTCAGTCCTTGTGTATTTTGAATATGCAACTGATGACGTATGACAAGACCTCTTACAATATGAACACGCTACCTCCTTTTCCTTTTTCAATGTTGTTTTGATGACTGACCTCATCAGAAGATGCTAGGTATTTGCAAAGTGGTTGCCCTCAGTTTGGTCTTTGATTATTGATGATGAGGGGAAGAAGAGCAGAGAACAACTGTGTCCTGCCTAATGCAGTAAGATGTGTAAGAAACGGCAGATTCAAAATGACCAAAAAGAGGTGCTTTTTTTCCCAAGCTGTTATGGTTAAACAGTGGAGATCTCAGAGAGCAGAAGGAGGCATACATGGATGACCATAACAGATGTAGCATTCCTGTCTCAGCTAAGGATGGATCCCTGGAAGGATGGAGTCTAGTTTTATTAATGGACTTTTTCCACTTAAGTTTAACAGTTGCATAAGGGTTTTCTTACGGTAGGAGCACTGGCTCTAAAAGTTTTGGCAAGCAGCTGCCACAGTACTAAACTTGCTGTCATTTAGTTGGGTCTTCTCTTTGATATGTTTGCTTTGCAGTGGTGACTTGGCTTGAAAAGAACGTTGTGGGGATAAACATGGTGAAGATAAATCTCAAAGCTGCTGTATTCGTGTGGGTCCCCAACTTTGGCCAAGGGTAGACTTCCAGCTGAAAGCAGTCTCAAGTTGATAGCAGACTTTGCTAAGGGTGAAAGTTAGTAATTTTTGCATTATGTTTCACTGCCTTTATAATATAAGGTACTTGGCCTACGCGAGAGTCATGAAGATGTTCCTCAGATTCTGCTCTTTCTGTCAGGAGCCTCTTGCCCTCGCACTTGATTTGTGTGCTCAATTATAACCATTCCAGTGGGACACATAACTGGGATTTTATGATAGAATGAAAGCATAAAGTCATAGCTTAAACTGTATTACGCTGCTTGCTGGGCTGTTATGCATATTTAAATAAAGAAAGGTCAAAATACTGTACCACCATAGACAGGAGCAAATGATGTCTTTATCTGTAGAACAGGGATAACACTGTATGCTTATATACCAAGACTTACTATAAGTTTAAGGGCACAAAACCTGAAGGTTTTATTTACCATGGCTAGGGCATGTTGTAACAACTGTCTGATACTGGTTAACTCTCAAACAGTAGCTGAGGGGCCTGAACCTTTTACACTTGCTGTTGCTTTACACTTAATAGTTTCAGGTGAACACAGCCTCTTGTTTCCTGCACGACCAAAGACTCAAAAATAGACTGTACTGCTCATACGTGAAATCAGTGATCAGTTCTAAACTTTGAAAATGTTCCTTCTTCTCTTGGCGGCAAATCTAGATCCAGCTTCTTTATGTGGAAAGAACAAAAACTCCTCAATATATCTTGAATTTTCTACTCCATAGCTACAAGCAGAAAATACTCATGAATCAAAAATGAAGGCCTGTAAATATTCTTATGGCTCTGTAGTGTACTTAGTCTCAACCAGGGACTGCAGTACACCACAATTCCATCGCTACAATAAATAGCAGAAGACTCCAGAGCCAAGCAAAAAATTTAATTAAAAGGAAACTGATATATATCAATCTGCTGACACAATGTCTCACTCTTGCATCTAAAATATATACAGGCCCCTTCCTGGGGACACTGGATGATTTAGACATCAATTTCACTTAAGAGGCCACTCAACTAATACTATCCAGCGACTGTCTGCCCACGTGCTACATAAAAACTTTGTTAACTAAATGTATTGATGTCCCATTGCTTCACATGCTTAGTGTATCAGCTTTTATTTGCTAATTTAAGAGACTAACAACATTTTCCTGTGCTTTAAATAGCCAGGCATCACTAAACTTTTAGGAGGAACTACGTTTGGCAGCTAGTAAGTATGACAGCCCCAGTGCAACAGATTATATTTTGGCTTTAAGTAGGCTTGGCAACTTTGAGGAAATGTCTCGCTGAGGCTTTAGCAACAGACAAGCTCTGCTCATGGTAGCAACATCCCATAAGCTGTTCTGTAAACATTTAATGAAATGCAGTCTCTTGTTGATTTGTGCCCTAAGTCTACCCTAGCACTACACACCTCAGCCCTTCTCCCTCTGTCCTCCCATGTACCTACAGTTGATACACAGGAAAGTCTGGGTTAAATGGTACCTCTGGAGATCATCTGGTCCAAACTGCTATTGAAAGCAGCACCTTAGATTAGGTTATCCAGGGCATTGTCAAGCAAAGTCTTGAATATTTCCACCAAGACAGTGCCCACCACTTCTCTGGGAAGCCTATTGCAATGCTCAGGTGTTCTCTGGCTGAAGAGTTAGTTTTTTCCTATATCTGCAAGGAGTTTCCCCTAGAGCAACTTGTGCCCACAGCCTCTTGTCCTGCCACCAGGAATCCTTTTGAAGATAGTATCTTCATCTTCTCTACAACTACCTTCTTAGGGCATTAGAGACATGGACTAGATCCATCCTAAGCCTTTTCTTCTCCAGGCTGAACAAATCCACTTCCTTTAGCCTTTCTTCATATGTTGGGTTCTCCAAGCCTCTAATAATTTTGGGACCCTCCAATGGACCCTCTCCAGTTTTTCAATGTCTAGAGCTGGGGGGCTAAAAGTGAACATTAAATTCCAGGTGTGGCCTTACAAGTCCTGAGTAGATACATTTACATTGGCTGGCCTAATTAGTAGGTTCGTGCAAACACTGGCAGTTTGTGTGACTTTGGACCAACGATATTTTGATACTGATTTTTCTGAACCTGGAAAAGGATATTGACAACTGTCATGGGATTTAGGAATAATACAAGGCTTTTAGTTATTTTTCTTTTCTGAGGAAGCAAAAACACTTTTTCCTCAGAAAAGAGAAACATGTAAAAAGTGTGTGACACTAATGAGTTCTGGCATAAAATACAGTAAAGCAATATTCCAGAGGCAAAATAGCTTCTGACACAGTATGAAATAAGCAGTTCCAACTAGCCCTCAAAAATTAGAGGTTATGGATATTGAGGACCAAATCACAATGCCTTGTATCTTTGAGCAAAAATTAATCTATTAATCTCATTTGATTTTTAGTGCTCTTTGTTGACTTGCATCAATATGGTGTTTTGCCTGGTACGCATTCTATTGATGCATCGCTAAACGCAAGTGAATTATGGAGTCTTTGTAGTCAAAACTTTTCTTACATTACTGTGTTTCCTCAAGAATGCATCTGTTGCCGGTGCGTACCTGGCTAGATAGATCTTTCATTGACAGATGTACTAAGGGACCTCCAGAAGATTATTGCATTAGGGATATCCTAATCAGCCATTGTTAAACCAAAAGAGACATCTGTATTTTGCGTTCATAGCGTCATAGAATGGTTTGGGTTGGAAAGGACCTTTAAAGGTCATCTAGTCCAACATGCCCTGCAATGAGCAGGGACATCTTCAACTAGATCACATTGTTCAGAGCCCCATTCAGCCTGACCTTGAATGTTCTGGGGATGGGGCACCTACCACCTCTCTGGGCAACCTGGGCCAGTGTCACTGTAAAAAATTTTTTCCTTATATGTAGTCTAAATTTTTACTCTTTTAGTTTAAAGCCATTATCCCTTGTCCTATCACAACAGGCCTTGCTAGAAAGTTTGTTCCCATCTTTCCTGTAGGCCCTCTTTAGGTCATAAAGCCATTATCCCTTGTCCTATCACAACAGGCCTTGCTAGAAAGTTTGTTCCCATCTTTCCTGTAGGCCTTCTTTAGGTCAGGAAGGCCACTATAAGGTCTCCTCAGAGCCTTCTCTTCTTGAGCCTCAAAAACCCCAACTCTTTCAGCCTTTCTTTCCAGGAGAGGTGTTCTGGCCCACTGATCATTTTTGTGGCCCTCCTCTGGGCTTGTTTCAACAGATCCATGCCTTTCCTGTGGTCTATTAAAAGGAGGCTTTTTTTAAAGAAAAACAAAACAAACAAAAATAAACCCCACCACAAACCAACCCCTAGAATATATCTCTTCATTAACTGAAGCTCTGTTTACTGCAGTAGTGATACATAAATCAAAGCAACCAAGGATACAGCCTACCATTAAAAGATTTGTCTGTGCACTTGACCAGTGCTTCAAGTTTGTTTCCATATGGAATAGTAAAATTCCACATCTGTGGAATAAAATGACACTTCATTTTAAAACATCTACAACTCAGCCTGGAAACAGAAAATTAATTTATTTCTGTATCAAAACAAGTTCAGAACCATAGATTAACTCACTCCCATTGCAAGATACTAATACAAAGACAAGAACTCAAAAAAACCAAACCAAAGCAAAACAAAAAACCCTAAATAGCAGTTATTTCATCAAAACATAGACCTTAAATCAAATTTTCCTTTTTCATCATAGTTATTTTGCCTATTTCATCCTATTCATGGCAGTTGTCCTTCCATGACATGATTCCTTTTCTGATTGAACAATACAGTCAATGTACTGAAGTTTTTGGGGTTTTTTTTGTATTATCTAGCATAGACTAACTACATAACAGGAATTCCCAAAAAGCAGAGTAAGATCTGAATATATGAACTAATGGTTTGGTGTTTGTAATTAATACCCTGAAATGTGTCCAACCTGATGCTAAATCAAATGTTTAGTGGGCTAAAAGTACTGCAAGCCAAAATAAGATTGAAAACCAATGTGATGATACTTGTCCATTTTCTGCGAAAGCTGGGAGGAATCCTGAAAATGGAAAATTAGAAGCAGGAGGAAAGGAGGACATCGGGAGTGACTCAATAGGTGACGAAAATGCAACTGAGATTGCATATGTGCAACATGATCAGGCTGGAAAAATAATTAGTTGAGCTGGGAGGATGGCAAAATGAACCTGTAGTGGAAGGAGTTGGCTTAGTCAGGAGATTGAAATCTGATGCTGGAGAGAGTCTGAAGCTGAGCCTGATCAATCCAATTTGAGTTTTTCAAAATGCAAATTCCTCCTGCTCAACAGGACATTGTCTAGTGAATGGAGTATACATTAGCTTAAAATAACTCCTTTTCAATTGGTCTTCAACCTGAGAGTTTGTCTCAAATAATATCTAAACTCTCGAGTGTGTGAGATTCTGCAAGCCAAGCGAGAGCCAGAAGGATCTCCTGCAATTCAATATTCAGCAGCTGTTGAAGCATTTAAGTTCCTAGTGTGCAAGAGGGAGTCATGGAAAAAAGAGTCAGGGGAAAAGAGATTTTAGAAGCACCGTTATTGACTTGCAGGTGTAAATGTCCATTGGAGATTGAAGTAAGTGCAGGGGAACTGGCAGAGAGGACTTGAAGAGAAACATGGAAGCTGCTGTGAAAGATAATGTTTCAACACTGTCAGAATTGTCAGTATGAGTATTGAAGATGGGAAGGTTGAAAAATGAAATACTGGGTTAATGTAACGCATCAAGTTGAAATAAACTGGATCTGAAGAGAAGCTGGAGAAAGATCAGGCTGGGACACCAGTGATCACAGCAGGGATGTGGAAGTAGTACAAATATAGATGAATCAGAAGTATAAAATGAGATATATGAATATATTTCAGAATAATGAGAAATATAAAACTTCAAATTCCAAACATTGGGAATCTGGGTTAGAGCTTGAGCTGACAAATTTTTCTGAGACTCTGGAAGATGCATGTGAAGCTCTGGCAAAAGACAGAAACTGAGACACCTAAAATACAAGGAAATTTTACTGAAGAAAATCTGTAAAGAAGCAGTAGACATTATAAAGAAAAGAACTGAAACTTCAGTATGTCTTACAAATCCCCAATATGAATCTGTCTTAACATCTCACTTCCTCGCTTCTTACTTATTTAATACATTTTCCGTGTACAATGGTGCTTTATGCGAAGTTTCAACTCTTATGCAGCAAGTGTTACTGACTTAATATAAAGCTGCTCTTTGAAAGAAGAGTTACTTTCCCTTTTGGCACTTCTAAATATTTCTGTTTCAACTTGGTGCTCCTTTCCCCACAAGATCTGAGTTGCAGAGCCGCTTCCCTCAGTCCCCGGTGGAGGCCTATTTGTATTGGCTTTGATGTGAGCAGTAAGCTGCTCGGTCTAATTTTAACATTTCAGGGGAAGAGTTTATTCACAAACGAATTACACAGCATGGAATCTTAAAAGCTGCAGTTAGATGCTCGTGGAAAAAACGCATAATGAGTTTGTTTGGGAAAAACATTACAGAACTGATATTCTCCTTGTCTAAAAGGGCAACGTGGTTACCTGAAGAGAGAGCAGGCAAGATGAGAAAGGCATCGGTACCGACAGGGAAAGGGGTGACAACGTGCCCATTAGGTGAACTGCATGTGGAGACTGCAATGAGAAATGCTGCACAGGGAGAACAAAAATTCCTGATTTCCAAATAGCCTGTCCAGAATGTAGCCTACTGAACTGGCCACCTGGCTTTCGGGATGTTTAGCGATGCTCTGCAGTGGTAAGAAACTGAATACTCTGTAAGCATTACAGTTCTGTCTCACCTTTTAACTCTCTATGGTCATTTGTTTAGTACTAACAGCGTGCATCGTATTTTAGAGCAGTAAAAAATTGTTATGCTTGAGGCAGAGCAGCTCCTTAGTACTAACAGCGTGCATCGTATTTTAGAGCGGTAAAAAATTGTTATGCTTGAGGCAGGGCAGCTCCTTATCAAAAAGCTGCGTTGCCAGCAGGTCCAGAGAGGGGATTCTGCCACTTTACTCTGCTCTGGTGAGACCTCACCTGGAGTATTGTGTGCAGGTCTGGAGCCCTCAATATAAGAAGGACATGGACCTGATGGAGAGGGTCCAGAGGGGGGCCACAAGGACGATCAGGGGGATGGAGCACCTCTGCTACGAGGACAGGCTGAGGGAGCTGGGGTTGTTCAGCCTGGAGAAGAGAAGGCTCCGGGGAGACCTAATAGCAGCCTTCCAGTACCTGAAGGGAGCCTACAGGAAGGCTGGGGAGAACCTGTTTAGAAAGGCCTGCAGTGACAGGACGAGGGACAATGGCTTCAAGCTGGAGGGGAACAGATTTAGACTGGAGATGAGGAGAGGGTTCTTCCCTGTGAGGGTGGTGGAGCACTGGAACAGGTTGCCCAGGGAGGTGGTTGAGGCCCCATCCCTGGAGATAAAGGAGAGGCTCGACGAGGCCCTGGGGAACCTGGTCTAGTTGGGGGTGTCCCTGCTGACTGTGGGGAGGTCGGACTAGATGGCCTTTGGAGGTCCCTTCCGGCCTGGGCAATTCTATGATTCTATGACACACGCTAGTGAAGCAGCAGCCCCGTGCAAGCCACAAGAACAGAAGTGGGAGAGTGAGGTGAGGATGGATTTGTAGATTCGGGGCTCAGGAAGGTCTCTGAGGACTATTAGCTCTCTGTCGTGCACAGTGCAGGCTGTGGAGTCCTGGCACTGAGCTTTGGGAGGTCCTGAGATCTTCCTCGTCCGATGGTGGAGCTTCCCTGCTGGGAGGGCTTTTGAAGCAGTTGGACACCACCTTGAACCTGCTGTGAGCTCTGCCTGGAGCATCAAACTCCTCCAAAGTGTTCTGCCTGAGCTCCCTGCCCAGCCTGGCTGGAGCCCAAGGGCAAGGGCCAGCGCTGTTGTCCCCTGCTGTGGAACGGGGCAGAGTGAAACTCGGGGAGCAAGGTCCCCCGGGGCTTTCCTGCATTTGGGGTGAGGTGTTTGGCCCGTGCCCCAAAAGCCTTTCTCTCTGATGCCCAGTTCTCTCCAGGCTGGCTCGGAGGGTGCTGGGAAGCACCAGCAGTGAGGCAGGGACGAGCGCGGAGGGGCTGGAGGGTCTCCTTCTGCTGACAGAGCTTTCCTCAGCTGCCCCCGGCTGCAGCCAGAGCTGCTCCTGCCTCCAGGGCCTTCCCCAGGGGCCTCTTCACAGCTCGAAATGCGGGACAGGTTCTGCTTGTGCCCAGAAATCACGCATTTGCTGCTTTTTGCTTTTTTAATAACAATAAAGTGTGCAATGCCCGTGTCTCTCCTGCTGGCTGTTGTCCCCAGGGACCGGGAGGGCAGGGGGGGCCTGACGCCCGGGGGCCGCCATCTTGTCCCCGCGCGAGGCCCGCCGCAGGTGTGAGGGCGGGGGCGGCGATAGGCCCGCCCTCGTCACGTGGGGCCGGGCCGGGCCGGCTGGGATTGGGCGCGGGGCGCGCGCCTTTGTGACAGCGCGCGGCTTCGGCGCGAGGGGGGCGCCCCCTCAGTCAGTTGGCACCGGCCGCGGCGGTGAGTGGAGGGGGGGCCGGGCCGCTCGGTCCCGCCCCGCTCCGCCCCGCGGCCTCCCGGGATCCCCCCGCCGCACTAGGGCCCCGCTGTCACTTCAGCCCCACGGCCAGCTCCCCGTGGGTGCGGCTGGCTCCGCCTCCCTCAGCCCCCCGACCCGCTCCCCCTCAGCCCCACGGCCTGCCCCGTCCCCCTCAGCCCCACGGCCCGCTCCCGGGGCCGGTGTGGGGTGAGGATGGAGACCCGGGGTGGGGAGAAGAGAAAGCGGGCATTTGCCAAGGTTGGAGGGAATTCTGGCTTGAGGATTGACTTCTTTCTTTCTCTTTAGTGATTGCAGCAAGTGCTGGCAGCACAGGCTTTTGCCATTTCTTAGGAGACTTTCAGAATTACGAGGACTGTTTCCAGTGACAACTTTCTCAGCTCCATATAACCATCTGGAGAAATCCACATTTGTGGCGAGGGGGCAGGCTGGGTAAACTTGGCCATCGCCATGACCCAGCCCCGCAGGGTGGCGTTCACCACCCTCTGTGAGCCCCAGAGCAGCACCTTCTTGAAGAGATCTTGGAAAGATGATGGAGAGCAGCCCCAGGGAACAGAGAGGCCTGCAAAAACTGCTCGAATAACACTCAATCTCTTCGAGCCAGATGATCAATATTATCCAGAATTTTCTTATCGAGATCTTCTGAAGAGCTGCCAAGAGAACGCAGAAGGAGCCAAGGTGAGTGTGTTCTCATGGCCTGTGGGGAACCTGTGTTGTATCTGCAGATTTCACAGGCTGTTTCAGTATTGCTGTTTTGAGAGGTGTCTGTGTGTGTGCGCTGAGGTGCCAGAGGTGGAAGGAGAGTGGTAGGGCATCCCGCAGGCAGGAGAACTGGTGTCCAGGCAGGGCTTCTCGTTGTTGGGCCACACTGTCACATTCCTTTGCCTTGTCTGGAATTTCACATCCGGAGGGCGATGTGTTGGTGGCAGAGTGTGGGACGTAATGCTTGTTTGGTTCTGAATTGCTCGATCTGAAGGGATTTCTGGTCCCTGGCTTGCTAGCAGCTGCCAGCAGCTCTTTTCCAAAGAGCTGCAAAAGGAGGGATGCTTCTACGATGGGTGTCTGCATCTTTTTGGAGACCCTGCTCTACTGCAAGGGACTGTTTCCACCTTTGTGCTTGGCATCGCTGCCTGTGAGCTGGACGTGGTGCTTCCAGGTGTTGCTGGACGATGGTGTTTGCCTGTTGAAAGCCATTTCTCAGGATACAGTGAGACTCCAACTTGTGTAGCATCTAGACTTTGTCTGATGGGTGTTTTTCTATGAAAATAGACTTGATTGGATTCTCCTCATTTTTAGTGTTGCTCTTCAGAACTGTTTATCATTGATGGTTCATGCCAGTTTTGGGGGGTTTTGTTTTGAGAGTTGGAAGCAGCAGAGGCAGGAACAGAAACAGCTGAGAGAGCACCCAAAACCTAGAGAAACTCTCATAATGTTGTACTGAAGGTTCATTTGTCTGAGCTTCTGCCTGGATGTTTTAGTCCAGCATGGGCTTTTGGTGGCAGTGTGACAGGATCGAGATCGAGGTCTTTGTCTCTCTTATTTCTACAGAAGACAGACCCTGCTCCTCCATTTGATGGTGATGAGAAAGAACAGCAAGAAGTGGCGGCTCTGGCGAGGAAGTTTGAAGAAAAATATGTATGTTTTCTGTCTCTATATTATGTTATCCTTTAGAAGGGGCACAGCTGCCAACCAGAGAAGACTGGTTTGGTTCTGCTGCTGGCAGGAGCCAATGTCAGTGTCCTGTATTGAGGCCCTTCCCGTGGTAATTGGAAAGATGAACACATTCTCAATCTTCTATTCTTTAGGGTGGCAAGAGACACAGACAGGACCGGATTGAGGACTTGATGGACATGGGGTATGGATACGATGAGTCTGACTCCTTCATCGACAATTCTGAAGCGGTGAGTGTGGGGCAGGAGTGAGGGGGCTGAAGGCAGCTGCCTGGGGGGCTGCGCTGGCACCTGAAGTGGGTGTGAGCCAGGAGTGTTCCAGGGCCAGGAACGAGAGCTCCTGGGGCACCCGCCTGGCAGGAGAAGGCTGGTTTGCAGGTGAATCCACTGCCCTGTCTGTTCCTGGGGGAGCACAACTCCTACAGCACTCCCCAGGCAGCTCAGCTGCAGAACAAAGCCTGAAAGCTGATGGTGCCAATGGAGTGTTCTCTGTCATTTCCAGTATGATGAGTATGTTCCAGCCTCCCTTACCACAGAGCATGGAGGGTTTTACATCAACTCAGGAAAACTGGAATTCCGGCATGTCTCTGAATCCGAGAATGACTATGAGAAGAAGAAGATGACTAAAGAGAAGAAGAAGAAGTGTCCCAAGGTGAGCAAGGCAGCTCTCTCTGTTATTTCCTCTGTTGGAGCTCAGGGGGTTTGCTGCTGGGAAGTGTGTTGGCATCAAAGCAGGGAGAGGTTTGTGAATGGGTGTGGACAGGGAAGGGATGAGCACTTGTGATCCCATTCTGTCCCCGTATTTGATAGTCAAATGAAGCAGGTCTGGCGTGGATGAGACTGCTGGGGGCTGCTTGATTATTGGTTTGTGGTGGGATGTTGTGTGGTTTTTTGGTTTGGTTGTTGCTGTAGTGTGTTTAGGGGGTGGGTGGTGGTGTGT